TTTTTTTTTGTCTTCTTGGGTTAGGCCATTTTCTGTTTGGTTGTGAAGAAAGGAGTTTTAAGCATTAGCATCTCTGTTTGAAAATATTTAAAGTCACACAGTTGTGTTTCTTGTTTTCTTGGTTTAATTTCAGAGGCCAATTAACAGATGAGCATGAATAATGTACTTTGTGTATAGTTATTGGGAAATGCTACGGTCCGTTTCGAAACCATTTGGTCGGTATTTGTAACTGTTAGATCAACTATTCTCACCGATTACATGATGATCTAACGGTTACAAATCTCAATGGAATGATTCCGTAACGGGATTGTACATCTCCCTATGATTATTACTATGCTGAATTCCATTGTTTTCTTCATACAATTTCAATGAAATTCCTACATAATATTTTTATTGGAACTTTATTGGTATTAAAATGTTCATTTGTGAGGTGTCACACATCAGGAAAAATAGGCATATCTTATAAGTCTGTGAGTTACTCCTCGTTTCACCAATTGGTTTTATGATGAAACCTCACTTTAGGTTTCATTTTAGCTTTTTATGTCTTGGTGCGCTTCAGTGCGTTGGACTGCATCTGTTTTCCTCCTACAATTGGAATATTTTATTATTGAAATTTTAATTATTTTCTTGTAGTGATTGATTTATAAATGCTCTTTGATGTATACTTTTTTTTTTTTCCGCCGAAATTCTTTCCTAATTTCATATAGTTACAAGGTTTTCAATTTTTCCTTTTATACTTTAGTTATTATTATTATTATTTTGCTATTAATACTTTGATACTGTACTTCTTTTAGGTCCTAGCTAGCTAGTCCTTACATTATTTATTTATTATTGCTGATTAATTTTGCATTGAGTCAACTCTAAGCTTGACGTTGTATTAATAAGTCAAACCCAACTAGTTAAAGCAATTTTTCAGTTAGACTACTTCAATCAGGGAAAAAGAACTAAAAAATTGATTAAATAGCTACTATTATTAATTTAAATTTAGAATTATATAAAACTAAATTTACCATAATTGGTAAAATTATATCACTCTTTAGTGGCTTAATTATGTTACAAGACTTCTGATCGGGTGGATATAAATATGGGGAGATGCTACGGTCTCGTTACAGAACCATTCTGTCGGGGTTTGTAACCGTTAGATCAATTATTTCCGACGATTACATGATGATCTAACAGTTTCAAATCCCGACGGAACAGTTCCGTAAAGGGACCTTAGCATTTTTCCATAAATATGATTATCTAAATTAGGTTAAAAGAGCTCATAATAAGTTGATGTTCTTATTAATAAATTAATAATCTAAAAAAGTTACTTATCTATGGATCCATCACTCATCATTATCTGCTATTTAATTTTTCAAATTAACATATAATTTCATGTCCTTCAATATACATGCATCTTGATTATTTTAGTTATAATTAACCCCCCTTTTTTATATGGAATTAACACATTAATCTAATATATAAAATTTTTTAACTATAAAAATAAAGGTGCCTCATAATTTCTTTCTTTCATTGACCCAACACATGATGATTATACAACTTCTTAATTTGCATGTACTTAGTGAAAGGAATCAAAAATTGTTGTCAACGTTGATTATAGAATGGCGTACGTACGGCCAAATCATTAATTAGAGTCGCATAACAATAAATTAATCAGCTAATTATCACTTATTAAACAACATTTAAATGTTGTTTAATTAATACACTCAGTTGAAACATAAATTTGCATAACACCTCGAATTTAGAATAATAATGCAAATGGAACATGCATAGCTATATATGTGCAGAATAACTTAATTATATCTTTTTTATCACTATTTAAGACTTATAATAGCAAGAGATTTCATATTTAATTAATTATTAGTTCTTTTTTGTTGGAGTCGGCCTAATTATTAATTATAATGCTGATAAAAGACATTTTACTATTATTAAGATATATCATATAAGCATTTAATCAAAAGTATAACATTCGATATTATAAGCATTTATATGGATTTACATAGTATAGCAAATAGACCAATATCACACAAGAATTTGTACAATTCACCCTATATATATATCTCATAGTATAAGTTAGAGCAATCCACATCCTATCTTCTGTGGGCGCACGATCCAAAGTTAGTTCACAGTCGAGTTATATCATAGAACATATTGTCGAGAGTGAATCGAACTTTATTTTTTCATTGCTTGAGCTTGAACTCGACGAGCCATATGAAATGTTGTTCGACTCGACCCAAGAAACAAATGTGAATACTCTAGATCGACCTGATGTTTGAGATCGATTCGATACTTGATATGGCTCGAATTGGACTCGAATTTCGACAACTAAAATATGCGAATTTCCTAATCTCTCATAAGTACATGATTTTTAGTCTTCGTGTACTGATATTGACAATAAAAATGTATAAGATATTTATCTAAACAGAAAATCGAGTGGTTCGTCAAGCTTACTAGCTTCTCGAAATGATTCTTGAGGCTTGACTTGTTTGTTCGAGCTGTGAACTGCTCCAGCTCTATTCGAGCTCGAGTATGACCGAGCTTGAGTCAAACATTGACTCGAGACTAAATTCACATACATTCACATACTCCATTACGAGTGTACATTGATCTAAGACCAATTAGAGATGTAATTCATTTTCTAAATATATATCCATCTTGGCAACTCTACTGATGACAAGGCTGTCAAATAATTAATCACCAAATATAGTTTCACCAATATTTTCAAAGTAAATAAGTAAACAACAAATACAAAAAGTAGATAAGGACCACATTTAAGTTTGAAATGAGTGTGAGCTTTCTCAAGGGTTCCATATTAATTAATATAGGATCAACATCATAGATAACTCCAATAAAACCATAATGAGGTTTAATGATTATGGCAGCCAGTTTTATTCAACCATGTTTTCTATTTGATTATATGTTTACTTCACCCGTTAAGTCTCGAGTTCAACTCATTAATATTGATAGACGAACTGAGTTTAAGTTCATTATTTATTAGCTCAATTAGTTAATGATTCAGCTCGATTCGGTTTGTTTACAATTTAATTTTTCAGTATACTAGGTTATGTTCACAATATATTAGCTGAATAATAGTAATATATTTTTTTAGAAAAAAAAAAAAAAAAAAAAATCACACAAGAAGAACATATTTGTTCTTCTTAATTCTTTGTTTTAGAATCAAAATGTTGCACATGCAACAATTAATGCCATTAGGCTCCATTGCTTAATTTGGTGAGTACAATAAGTGGAGGTTCTATTTTGTTATGTACCCCCATTTTGTGGATGACTGAGATATGTCATATTTGTTATGTAAAAATATGCATAAATTTTGAAATGTGTCCTACTTTTATTTATATTACTTAGCACTTATTTAGAATAATATATATGTAACTGTAGATAAAATATAACTGTCTAATACATATCAGATAATTTTATTTATATCTATCTACATATATGTATATAGATGATGCAATTTAAATATTTAAGAATTTGCTTAGTGTGTGAGAATTGTGAGAACGATATTCTTAATTCAAATTATATATGTTATGTGTGTATGTAACTGTTGAATTGTCACTAACTAACTCACATATTCAAGATGATTGGTTTTAAGATGAGGGAAATGTTACGATTTCATTACGAAACTATTCCGTTGGGATCGTAACCGTTAGATCAACTATTCCCGACTGTTACATAATGATCTAACAGTTACAAATCTGACAGAATGATTCCGTAACGGACCGTAGTATTTCCGCCGTAGATGAATGAGACTAATCACTAATTAATTTATTATTACTGTACCATGTACCCGTGTACGACAACAATGGTAAGAAAAGAAATTAAATGCTATATATTTAATTGAGATAAAATGATAAAAATATCCAATAACCATTTTAATAATCTTTGGCTCTTTTAGCTTTACTTTGAAGATTAAAATCATTATGCCGTTTATGACACATCGAAATTGCAATTATATGATTGTGACTTAGGCTGTGTGGTCCTCTAATTATTAATTAAAAGAAAAGTACCAAAAAAGAAAAAAAAAATGTAATTTTTTTGATTAATTAATTAATTAATTAATTAAGCTTGAGATTACATTATTATTATTATTATTATTATCTCAGATTTTGCTTTAATGAACTCAATAATAAATATATTATAAATTCATGGACATTGCACATGTAGTACTTGTGTCTTGTGACACCATATTTGATTATAGCAAATGATTTTCATAACTACATAAGTCAACTTGTCAGTGAAAGATACATATAAATGATCACAAACCAAATTAGAAAACATACGTCTAATTGTGCATGGAATGTCATGTTACAAGGAAAAATTACCAATCAATCAATTTGATATGATTTCACTATTTAGTAATTCAATTTTTATATTATGGAGTAAGGTCCACAGCAATATTAATAGACTTGGCCAAATGACGGTGGGTCGACGGATCTCAATCTGATGGCCCGTAATTGACCTGACCATTTTCTATGGGCAGGTTCATTGAATTGGCCCGGCTCGACCCTTTAAAAAAGAGAAAATACAAAGACCGCCAACGACCCGGCTCGGCCCGGCCTAGTCGGGCGGCACAAAGAAAAAATATTTAAAGATTCGGAATCGAATTGCGAGGGCACGGTACTTTGAACCGCATTGTTCCAAGCCGGTTGCTGGCCGGGCCGGGACCAGTCCGAGATTCTAATTTTTGTAAGTATTCTGAATTTTATAAAATATGATCCTTTAAAATTAGTAACATGTAAGTGTAATTTATGATATTTTATTGTATAAATATGTATGTTAACTCGCATAATATGATGAGTTGATATGTCAGACGGTTAGACTGTCTCACATCAAAATATAAAAATTTACAGTGATTGTTGAGAATAAATGGGCCACCTTCTTTACATATGCTCGGCCCAGAAGTGAAAGATAATATAGAACACATAATACACTCGGCCCAAAAGTAAAAGATAACCGTAAGACATAGGGGAATTTACATTCTTACTGTATTGATTTCTAAAATATTACAAGAATACTAGATGCAAAACTTTATTGCACATGTACGTAAATAAGGCTATATATATTTGGATTTTTACCAGGTAATAGAAAATGGGCATTGACCAAA